GATGAATTCCTACTCTTTTATATATATTATTATTTTTCTCTCTTTTCTCCAAAATTGCTAACAAATGGAACTGACGCTAGTGATTTGCTGGTTTTCTGGGAATTGAAATAATTAATATATACTTTTCTTAAGTAAATTACATATTTATGAGTTCTATGTACCTCTAAAAAGTAATGACCTAAACTTATTTATTTGAGCACTGAAAGGTTTTGGGTTTTTTTTCTCTCACTCATTTTAGTAAAATAATGAAGGAAAAATACAATGAAATATTAAAATAATTTTACAATCAGTCAATATGCAAAAAGATCAAAATATTACTGAAGTTGAACTGTTGAGACTTGTATTCAGAATTTTCTGTTTTAAAAAAGGAAATCAACGCATAGGATCCACAAGTATAAGAGTATAAGTATCTGAAAACATCTTTTGCCAAAATCATAGCTCACCAGTACTTGTCCTTATTTTGCACAATTCTAGCAAGAATTTCCATGAAAGAATTTCAGTAAATAATACCAATTCCCCAACAGTGTGCTGTAAATGTCAGTGAACCATACTGTACTGTAACTGCACAACATACAAACTTCGGCACCAGCTCTTCAGCTCCGTCAAAGAAACACATGATGATCAGTGACAAGTCACATTTCTTTCAAAGGCGGTTGATGATTAATTACTGCACATCTGTTATCTACTTCACAGACACACAGTAAAATATCTGGTTGTGTTACTTCCTTGGCAACCTGACAAACCCAGGCGACATTTTCTAACACTGGGTGATTAAAAGGAGGAATTGGCCAACAACGATGAACTCCAGTAAAGAATCCAAAAGGGACAATGGTGGAGATGGAATTTGCCTAGAAAGTAAGGTCAATGGTGTCAGAAACAGGGACTGTGAAAACTGCTGCCAGGCTGGAGACTCTCGATGGGCAGTGAGGTCAAACGTGGTAAAGGCGAACTTACCAATATGAATGCGGAACGGGAGGAGGAGCTCCTCCAGGCAGCACCTGACAACCAATTGACACGCAAGGACCTCTCGGATGTGTCCATCAAGCGAAAAGTGAAAAGGATCAGACGGAAGTTGATTCCAACGTTGAGAGGAGTGTAACATTTCTCCTCCAACATGTAAAAGATGTTCACACAGAAGTGAACTTATCTGATAAGAGGAAAGCAAGTAATAGGCAACGACTATGGAAGAGATTTTATGGGAAAAAAATCACTTTAATTGCTTAATGCTTTAAATTATAGTGTAATGAATGTTAAAGATTTTTGGCTATGTAGACCATTCATATTTAGAGATCATTAATATAGCTGCTTTAGTATTTACTATTTCTCAATTTGTTACTTGGAGTTCTAAACATAAGCTTGCTGGTGGCTTAACCCTACCAGCTGCAAAAAACAAAACAAACCCCCACCAGCTGCCCCAGGCTATCTGTCCAATAAGGACTTACAGCCTGGGAAAAACCCCATGGAGGGTCGGTATGAACTGGAATTGACTTGATGGAAATAGACTTGGTTTCTTTGGTTTATATTTGTAACTGTTTTCTACTTATTCCCTTTGTTCTTTGTTTATTCCACTTTCCTGCAATTTTGAATTTTATGTATACAGAAAGACATTTCTTTTTTTTTGTCTTTTCTAATTTTAATTGAACATTTTATAGGATTCCATTTTCTCTACTCTCGGTATATCATTTATACTTAGTTTTAAAAAATACCTTTTTTTTCAATGGCTCCCCTAAAGTTTGCAATGTATATTTCTAAGACTGTCTTGAAATAGCATACCACTCTTTGGACAACATACCTATCTTATAACAGAATGTCCTCAATCCTTCCCTCCCGTTTCTTGGTTTTTAATTGGTTGGGTTTCTTCCCTCCCATGTGTTCTTCTTTTTTAAAAGATTAGTTGGGTTTTAACACATACAACATCATTTCATATTTCAATGGCGTCAAGTAGAATGGTACAATTGCTACCACAATCAGTTTCCAATCATTATTTTCTACATGCACTCCTTGACATCGTCTCCCTTTTACCCCCCTTCCACCATTGTACCCCACACTCCCCAAACTCCTTTTTGTACTTACTTATGTACTTATTTTACCTATATGAAAAATGGGAAAGGATGTAACAACTTCAAGAGGGTGGCCTCCATTTACCATACCTCTGAGATCCACTCTACTATAAACAAACAGAAACCAACCCAAACGATACAAACCTACACTACCCATTTCTAATATTATTGGTGTCAGTAGCATTGTCAGGTAAGCATAGGGCTGCCAACTACAAACTCAGTGGTTTATGCCCTCCAGCTTCTCTTTGGGGAAAAGATGAGGCTGTCCTGATCATGTAAAAATGTACAGCCCTGGAATCCCTCTATAGGTTCACTATGAGTTGAAGATGACTCGTTGGCAGAAGGTTTATAATAAGATAAACATTTATAGATTGTTGCTATGATTTTTAAAAAAATAAGATAACTGTTAGATTAAGAAAAAATTCTATTTTACCTTCATTTATTTTTTTTCTAAAATGTTCTTTCTTTCCTTATGAGATCTGAATTTTTGGACTACACAATTTTCCTTGT